TTTCTCATTTGTGCATGTGCAGTGGGTAAAGTCAACACGATTTTACACACCTGCTCCACGCCGTTTTATCTCTCAGTCGATGTCCAGGACGAGAAGCCCCGCTCCCGCTCTGCTCTCCGGCCACATCAAGCCGGCAGCGGCGCTCTAATCATCCTAAACAGGAGATGATACGACAAGGCTGAAGTGGGATTATCCATGCGACCTGTTGTTGCTGGTATACGACAGAGGCACCCACAAATCCTCTGTCATTGTGCCGGACTGTCCATACGCCGGGCGGGGCGGCTATTAAGCGGGCGGTGCTTCGTCACTGGGTCCCCGCCGTGAGGTGCGGTTTCTGGGTAGTAAGTAGGACGCTTCTACCGCCGCTGTAGCAAGGATGGAGGAGGCTGAATCCACACAGCAAGCGCAGCATCAGTGCAACGCAACGTAGCCAACACGTTGATTCACTAGCGCCAAAGTCAGAGCCAGTACAAATACACGACTTCCGCTCACGTGTTTCAAAATAAAATGATACCGACATCCATAACACAAGTACGACTTGAGGAATCTATAAGTATACCAATATATGTATCCCAACAGGCCACCTCAACCTCTAATATTAACGGATTAGATGTTGTTTTCCTTTATTTTTCAAGTTACTTGAACTTAACCCATTAAACATCATTAGAAACTACCAGATTTCTATGAGGATTTTTCTGAGGAAGATTTTTTCCGCTTCTGAAAAAAAAACTGTCACACATAACTCGATAATAACGCAAATCTTTAACTTATTAACTCAAAACTTTGGGATACCTAACTCGAAATTTGGAGTTATTTCCTCTAAATTTTGAATTATTAATTAAAAACTTTGAGATCCCGTTTTTTTTCAGTGCCAGAAACAAACTTCCACAGTGACTGTAATCGTCCTGGTTTATGTTGAAGCGTTGAGTGTCAACGGTCTTTCATCTTCAACCAGAATATCCGATAAAATTATGCACATTATCTAAACTCATCATATCAGGGGAAAAGTCTATCCTTCCAAGACACTGGAATGAGGTGCAATTTGCCAGTGATCATTCATTTGTTTAGTCACAATAATGGCAAATCAGACACTTACACTCATTTATATGTTCTGAAATCTACATCACATCGAAGAGTGGTTGAAGATGAGCCCATCTCAATCAGTGGACCAGAGCTCAGTAAACAATTTGCGTAATACCATTGGTAAATTATTTTGTTTCACATAAACGTACTAGTAACAGAGCACAGGTTTCATCAGCCACACTAGAATCAGTTTATTTTGTAAAAAGAAAAAAAAAAAGGGGGGGGGGGGTTCAAATCACTTCCTGTGCGACTGTGTGTCATACTTGACGCAAAGCTGAGAAGGGATTTTGCTGCTATGGGGCTCATTTATTTATTTAAAGAGGAGACCAGAGGCAGGAAGCCCGTGGCTTCCAGATGTTGCCGGATTTCGTGCCAAATAGGATCTGCTGCTTTGAGAGGCGGGAATCTGGTATGACGGATCAGAGATGTGGAAAAGCTGAATAAAATGTAAAAAAATGAAAGATGAATGAATATTGATCTTTATATTAATATTGATCTTAAGCCATAATTAAATACAATCAGTGCTTTATTTTTTTTCTTTTCTTGAAGAATATAGCTGAATTTAAACCAGAAAACAAGTTGACTTTATTTCTTGGAACTTATTACATTATAAAAGCAGATACCACACACATATAGTGGAGTAAAGCATTCATTATTATTTTATTATCCCTTTAATTTAAATACCCAATAATAGAATATCATTAAAATATCCCATAAATAAACCAGAACTGTTAGCATGAATATTCATATATATGATGCTCTTCTTCGTGAGTTTCTGGCATCTCAACATACCAAGTCCAATACACATGTGAAAGAGTATCCTTATACTCTTTCTTCTTGGCTTTTTCATTTAACATAAACTTGTGTAGAAATGTGTCCCTTGTGAGCATAGTATAGTCTATGAATTCACATATAAAACTTTAGGCACTCTATGTATTACAGAATCCTTTGTTTTTAATAAGTGAAAAGAAACAGAAAATCTTCAAATGTTACGCAGGATTAGCGATGTACTCTACCAGTGTGCAGTGTTGATGAAAAATAAAAATAGTATGCAAAGCCACATCTGGATAAGCCAAAGTTATTTTGGACTCCAATGCAGTAGAATTTAAGCTCCTTTGCCACTACAGCCAAAGGTATATTTAGCACAGAAAACAGCATGTTGGTGAAAATACAAATTTCATGCAGTCTTTCTAGAAATTGAAACTGAAAGCACACCTGCTTCTTCAATAGTCAAATATCACCTTTAAGAAACACAAGCAATAAGAAACTTAAGTACTAACCCTTAAACTGTAAAAAAAAAAAAAAAAAATAGCATGGTAAGCTGTGGATATGATTGCCTTCTGTGTTGTGAATGTTGGGACAGGTCTCACACATTAATCACGCTGCTGGGCAGAAAGTGGTAAACTGGATAGACTTTTAGCATCTCACAAGCCATGGGAATAAACCCACAGTGTTTTCAGTTTTCCTTGTCCAGAGTCCCAATGTGAGGTTCTTTTAAGATCTATTACCTTGTACAGAATTTTTTAGTCTGTTTTCAAACACTGAAAAAACAGACTTAAATGTAATCACCAAAGAACACATATAAACAAGAAATGAAGAAAGCCACAGGGGTGGGGGTGGGGATAGGCTGAAAACCCACCAGTCTATTGTAGAGTCAGAGTGAGAGGTGAGTTTTCCCCTAGTCAGGTCACCAGGGCAACGACATTTACACAGACAACCATTCACACTTATATTCACACCTACAGTCAATTTAGAATTGCCAGTCAGCCGAACATGAATGTGTTTTGTATGAGAGACAAAGCTGGAGTACCTCGAGAAAACACAAGCAGCACAGGGAGACCGTGAATTTTCCAAACAGAAGGGTGCCAGCCAGCTGGTTGATTCAAACCCAGGACTCGCTTGACTCTTTTCAGTGGCTGGTGCCTGGTGCTATGAATGTCTGTTTCTTTGTGTTGGCTTGTCTGTGTGAAGCTTGCATGTTGTCCCTGTGCTTGTTTGAATTCTTACACAATACTCTGGCTTCCCCTGACAGTCCAAAGGCTTGGTTTTAGGTTAATTGGCAATTCTAAACTTTTGCACTTTGACTTTTCTAAGAGACTAAGTAATTGTCTTATTTTAAAATGGTGTGTGCATATGAGTACTGCTGCTGTGCTTGCCCAAAGCCTAGTCCCTTTTAGTTCCCTGTGTAAGCAAATGTCCCGTTTCGTCCATGCTCATATGAACACATGTGAAAATGTGAAATACAAGATATATTTTGACTTTTTTATACTACCAAAGATATTTTCTCAAAAAAAAAAAAGTCAGAGGGAGGTAGCTCTGTTTTTACTAGATAAGAGGGACAAGTGCAGCAAGGTAGCACATTAACTTAATGTCACTATTATTTTTCATTATTATTTCCATTATGAATATGAAAACATCTCACAAATTGTGTCCTGGGATTCAACAATAGTGTATATATCAAAGTAATTGCAAAAAAAAAAAATGATTTAAAGCAATGATACTAATAAGAGCTAAACACATTTTACAGAGATTTGCTGCTAGTGCTTTTACTTTTATATTCAAACACTTGCACTTTCTCCTTTGTTTTCAAAGAAGTTCTAAATTCAGCTTCTGGATGAGGTGTAGTAGAAGGATTTGTACTGTTGTATTTGTAGTAACAAAAAAATCAATGCTGAAAAATACTACTTCTAAATTTATAGAGCTGAAATCATTACTTAATTCCGTAATTTCATTTACATGTATGACAATAATAATAATAATAACGGATTGCATTTATATAGTGCTTTTGGAGAACCTTAAAGCGCTGTACAATTTCACTATTCATTCACTCTCACATTCACACACTGGTGGAGGCAAGCTACAGTTGTAGCCACAGCTGCCCTGGGGCTGACTGACAGAAGTAAGACTGCCATATCACCATTGGCCCCTCTGGCCATCACCAGTAGGCGAAGGGTCTTGCCCAAGGAGACAACGACGAGACTGTCCAAGCTGGGGCTCGAACCGGCAACCTTACAAGACGAACTGCCAACTCTTGAGCCACGATCGGCTATTCTGTTCCATTCTATTCTATTAATTGACTTCTTTATCAGGAAGAAGAAGCAGAAGTTGTAAAAATGAAAAAGAAAGCAAAACAAAGCCTGTTTTCAGAAAAACTGATAAAAGGATATTGAATTGTATTTTATTCTATCATAGAAATAACCATCACTGCAAGTTTTAAGGTGTGACGGTGACCTCTGAAAGCAGGAACCTACGCAAAGAGCCACTGGTTTCCTGGCTGGTAGGCAATCAACACCAGAGTTCAGACTAAGAACGCTGTCTTCCACCTCTTCACCTCACTGCTACCATACAGGCCACATGCACCTGCAGATATAAGGTGAATGAAAAAAAATGAGACTTCACACAGAACAGCAATAAAAATAAGTACATAGTTTGTGTAGAAAGTACTGCTAAATATACTACAATATACCGAGCATGCACTACATAACCAAAATAAACAAAAAATAAAAGAAGTTATAGAATATCTTGGCCTGTTGAGTCCAATTTAATTCATAGCAAAGGTATGCACGAGCAACCATTGGACACGCCCCCTCCCCTTGATTGGTCGTTTTCATTCAGGTGCAGGACTTGACTTTTTTTTTTTTTAATCAAATGTGACAAAAGAACCCCAGTATTTATAAATACGCCGAGTCTTTGAATGACACAGCTCAGCAGAAATCAACAAACTGTATGGTTCATTTTTCCACAGGAAAGTAAAAATTAAAAAAAAAAGCTAGAACACAGTTTTCATATTTGACAAAAAGAAAGCAGCGACAATCTAATAAAGAGTGAAGTTTTTTTTTAAAGACCGAAAAAAACACACATAATAAAATAAAACACGATAACCTTCCTGTTGGGATTTTAGTGACGACAGACTCGGGGCGGGTCTCGCCGATGTAGTCCACTTCCTGCTTCTCTGCCCTGGTTTCGCCTGATCAGCCGCATCAACCTTTTATCCGACGAAAGCCATAATGTCACATCAAACGGGCATTCAAGGTAGATGCTTTCTTTCTGATTCACAGCTTTCGGCCTTTACGTGTTTTGTTTTGCTGCGTGTCTGATTGCCCGGCGAGCTTTAAGCGCCTGCAACAATTAATTGCAAGGGGAAGCTAGTGTCACGTTAGCTAGCCACTCCTAGCTAGCTTTGAGCTATCCTGATGTGTGCATATGTGTGTGTGCGTGCCCTGTTTGGACACTTATGACCAGGAAATCTAATCCTGAGTCTCTAATCAGTTTACGAGCGACCTAAAACACGACTACTCATACTTTTTTCCCCCTCGCAGTGCTCGAAAAGCCTGTAATGCCCCAGCCTTTTAGCATCAAGCATAAATCCGGTAGTGTTTAGATTTTGAGTAGATTTTGAATGGACAGACGACGCCTTCATTTTGACAAACTGCTGGCCTGGTACCTGTCGGTGTTTGCAATAATCCGTGAATGGTACTGGCATTGCCTAAACCGTGTTGTAATTAAAAGAAAAAGGGATTTATGCAGGGCGTGACCACTTGTTATACACGATGGCATCGCAGCAAAAATAGAAACAACCCCCGAGGTTAAACTTACAAATCAGGCAACCTTAAAATAGAAGTACAAACGTACTTGTTACTGCTGTGTCCGAATAGTGTTTTTTTATTTTTATGTTTTATCTTTTAAATATATATATGTTAAACGTAAAGCTTAATACAGGGGCTCCTCTAAGCTAAACCCTTTTTGTGGTTGTTTGTAGCTCACCAGATTTTGGTGGTGGTGAAAAACAAAAGTGAATCCTAGTAATTCAGGGAATATGACCCAGTTCATTTACTACCATGCATTCCTGTGTGTTGTTGTGTTACATGGAAGATTTTGCTTTAGTGCCTTCCTTGAAAAGTGATTTTAAAAATGTCTAAATAGTTTGTTGGACTTGTGCCATTAAGGTGCTCTTGGGGTTTGTGTTACAGCTATTAAGAAGTTGGTTTGAATCTGAATTATCACCCTTTTTAAATTTATTAAAAGAAAATGTATTTATTGTGACTGGGTTTGAGATCAAAAGTTAAGCCAAAATAATAGGACTGACGAGTTTTCTTGATGGCCTGCTCACTCAAAGCCTGTGCAATACGGGATAAAATGCTAACTTTACAAAGGTCTGCAGGTGCTGAATGCTTAATGAGAAGATCATTTTGTGGCCTTTGTCTAATGGCTGACATCAGATGGTTCACAGGCTATTATGAGTCGTTAAACCTTTAGGTGTAGACTCATAATCATACGACTCATGATGGTCATGTTAAGATGAGCGTGGTGTTGTTGAGCCTGCATTGTTTAAAGGAGGGGAAGAAAATCCTGACCTCTTATGTCTTTTTTTTTTTCTCAGCGGGGAATGATGTGAAGGATATCTTTGCCAGTGCGAAGAGCGGGGATCAGTATCGTGCCCTAAAGATCGTCATCAAGGATGGTAAGCAGCGCTCTAGCGTCCTGGAGTTTGTTTACTTCTACCTAAATGTCTGCCAAGGCTGACATTAGCATTTCTTTATAAAGAAACAAAACTCTGCACTGCTGATTTTTTCTCTCTCTTTTTGTCCACATCTGCTCTCCAGAGCAGCTGACTCTAGGTGCCAGCAGGAAAGCATCAAAAAAATGGGACCAGGAATACGATTCTTTAGTGCTACCCCTCCTTGACGATGATGTGCCCTGCTACGTTCTATACCGGCTAGACTCCAATAACAACCAGGGCTACGAGTGGATCTTCCTGGCCTGGTCACCGGACCACTCTGCTGTAAGAAAAAAACCCTCAAACTATCCCGGCTTTAATGAATAGCTTTCCATTCTGCATGGCATTTGTCCTTCTCTGCTATGGGTATCAGACGGGTGGGGTTTACCACATCAAGGCAGCCGTTCTTTTATATGCATTCATTATTTCCTAACAGACCTCTTGAAAGCTAAATATGGGTAAATTATGTTTTTCCAAATAACACGGTGCATAGCCTCAGCCTCTCCTTCTTGACTTAAAATTTACCCTCATTGCTTTTAGGTGGCATATTCCTTTCATGCATTGGTGTTTTGTTGTAATGCAAATGTGTGTGCTTGCAATGTATGCGTTCTTGTCTCGCACAGTGTCATTTAAGTCATTGTTGTTTGGTCTCACTGAAACTTGATGAACCACTTGCAGCCTGGAGCTGCTGTGAATAAGAATAGCCGTAACAAATAACACACAAGTGTTTTTCTGTAGCAGTGAAATGGGGAATGTTGCGAGGAGAAGCGACCGGTGCCCAGATAAAGTGCAATGGAAGATTATTTGTAGCACGGTGGACTTTAGAGTCTCTTTCTGAAGGAGGAGCTGAGCTCAGCATTCCTGACCTCTAGTTTAAAGCACGAGCCTTCAGGTTTAGGCTTGCTTGGAAGTTGCAAAACATTTTTCCAATGCATGCATGCACTCGTTTTTATCATGTGCATTTCTTTTTCACTTCGTTAGAACTGGAGCTGGATTTGTGTAGCCTAAAATCACACGTTTGATATTTAAAGGTATCTTGTAAAGTTTTGGTTACCACTAGTGTAACTATGTATTTGAGCAGTTCCCTATTTTTATGACAGGAAATGCAGCAATAAACCAGCAAACACATGAAAGAATGTCTTGACAGAAGCACCGGCTGTAATATGTATTATAATATTTCTCACTTTTTTTAAGGCAAGCAACAATAAAATGTTTTTTTCTTTAAAGATAAAGCTCTCATTGCCTTATGTCCTGTGTAAAGTTTGCTAAATAAAAAAACTTTTTTTTTCTTTTGATATTCATAACAGGTGCGACACAAAATGTTATATGCTGCTACCAGAGCAACACTGAAGAAGGAGTTTGGAGGCGGGCACATCAAGGATGAGATTTTTGGTACCAGCAAGGTTGGTCAAGTGAAAGGCTTGTTACTCAGTAGCTTAACAGTGCCAAGTTAAGTGTCAGTGTTAGTGTTTAGCACCTAATAGGAACTGTGATTACTATATCAGTAACAGTGAGTCAGTGTGTGTTTCTGCATGCTGTGTGATTGGGCTGTTCTTTACCTGCAGGATGATTTGAGCCTCAGTGGTTACAAGAAACATCTGACCTCTCAAGCTGCTCCCTTGCCTCTTACTGCTGCAGAAGAGGAACTGAGGCAGATCAAACTGAATGAGGTAACACACACACACACTCAGACAAGTGATTTGGATTTTATCACTTGGTCACCGCTTAGAGTTGTCATCATCTTGGAGGAAACAATGTTCTGTGCAGTGCTTGCTGCACACTTGCTGCACACTTGCTGCCAAGTTCTCTGGCTTGAAGTGTTCTAAAGTGGGTGTGGATTAGGCTTCTCGTTTCTCTTTTGGCATTACGTCATTATCACATTGGAGGCTTCAGTGGGAGAAAGCACTGGCTTGCTTTAGCTCAGCGGTATCCCTCCTCATTGCATATCCTGGGTGTGGTAGGTAAATCCAAACCAGTACAGTGTAGGGTATCAATGAAAGCTGGCGCTGAAGCCTTCCAAACAGCACAAGGTCAGCAGCAATGCAAGTGTGCATATGCTTGCCTGGCAGTATCAGTGCAGTGCAGAGATGCTGATGCATTAGAACAGCAGGATGTTCTAATGCATCGGGAAGAGACAAAGCTATTAGCCGTGTGTATATCCTTAGCTCCACAAAATGTGCTGTTTAGAGTTGTAAACACTGGTTAGCCTAATCAGCAAAGGGACTAAAAGAAGAGCTTTTTGATTGTTCTAATCGAACATTTACATGTTGGGAGCTAAATGCAAATGAGAGGATTCTGTAGCAGTATTTGGCAGTGATTGGTCACAAGAGTACAGGTGAGCTGCATCAGTGGCTTGTGCCTTTGTTGCGATCAGATAAAGAAGTGCTGTAATGTGATACTTGTTGCAGGCTGCTAGTGTCGTCAGCAGTGTTTACAGTGCTGATCTCAAGGTCTCCAGGGATGTGCCACATAGACGCCAACAGACAAATGAAAATGGGAACATTTGAAGTTTCACTCTTTAAACTTCTGGAGAGTATTCCTAGAATTTTGCTGAGAATTTCTTCAGTGTTAAGATACAACCTGTTTCTAATTGCTGCTCTCCCCGCTCCGCCACATGAACAAGAACTGTCTTTCTTACCATATATGGAAGTGCTCTGAGCAGAGTGCAGGCTGTCTCCAAAAGTACGGTCAATTAAAAGCAGCAGAGCAAATGGGAAGTGAGGTTTTTTTGCTCTTCCCACTTGCCCAGCTGTTGAAGGAAGATGATATACTGTTAATCTGTACTGCCTAGCTCAAAAAGCCTTTGGAATATTTATTGTTGCTTTGCCTCGGAGACTGCACGCTTTTTTCCAAGCAGATGGATAAAAGACCTGCAATCCTTTTTGGTATGCGCGATAGCTACATGGGAGGCTCAATCATGTTTGCATGGCATTGCATTTTGTGGGAACAAGCCTCTAAAAATAGATGCAATCCATCAGTGTAATCCTTCCAGAATTTCCAGTTTTCGGTGCAATTTCTCGGAGGCGCCTTGTCACTTCGATACAAGCACCTCATCTGTAATCATCAGGTCTAGCTCTGAAGATGTGCAAAGCACTTGTAATCCTAAAATTTTTTTTTTTCTGTTCTTTTTTAACGGTGTGCCCTCACATGATTACACTTATTGAATTATTGTGGCTTATGTTTTGATTTTGAAGACATTTGATGCTTGCTAAGTAATGCTCTGATCAGCCTACTTTAAAGGCTTTGATATCATTTTTCAGTGTTTTTGTCAATTGTAGTGTTTTAATGACGATAATGGGACTGTAGAACTCAAAGTGTGTCTTGTTTCTGTGTCTTTGTTTGTGGTGTGTTTAGGTGCAGACTGACATCAGTGTGGACACCAAGCAGCAGACTCTGCAGGGAGTGGCTTTCCCTATTCATAAAGATGCCGTCGCAGCACTTGAACGTTTCAGGGACAAGAAAATCAACTACGTACAACTGGTGAGTTATTAGCTGGGGTTATTAGCCTCTACATGGCCAAGTGTCAGCATACCTGTCACAGCACTACATCTGGGCATTTTTACATGCCATGGGATTACAAAGTATTGTAAGACCAGCCACATACTCCTGGTGTCTGCAGCTTTCTACATACACGTCTGCAAGGCTGTATCCTCGTCTAAATGACAGTAATTAGCTCAGCACTGACATATTCATATTCAATAATTTGAATGTGCAGTTGGAGTTTTTACCTTGTGTTTGGAAAGATGCAGATTGTTTTGGCGAGGAGACCTTTCTAGTTTGACACAATGAGTTACTCAGTTTGTCCAAAAAGCCTTTGTGTAAATTCTGCTCATTGAAATTCTGACGGTTTGTGTCACAAGATCAGATGAGTCCAGTACAAAGGAATAATTGTAGCACTGTTGTGGTTGTGCATCAGATTTCCTTTTCATGAGTCTAAAAGCTTAGTTAAAGTGCATTTCTTCCCCCCCTGTTTTTTTTGTTTTTTGTGTTCTATTCATCCTTACTAGTTTTACTCCTGGCTGCTGAGGATCACATTAGCATGTAAAGGGAGGTGTTTAGTATTTACTGGCACCACCTAGATTTTTCACATTGTCTGGTAACCAAAGCAGGGAGCTTGTAGTTACAGGAGCACTCGGCTTGCTTAAAGGGTAACTTTTTGCTTCTTTTGTCAAAAAAGCAATTAGATGCTGAACAGGAGCTCATTCGGTTGTGCGGCACTGAGCCAACGGAGCTGAAAGATCTCCCAATGAGAATCCCTAAAGATACTCCACGTTACCACTTCTTCCTCTACAAACATTCCCATGAGGGCGACTACTTAGAGTCCACAGGTAAATGATTTCCCACGGGTTATTACGAACAGCAGGAAAAAACAAACAAACACTGTATTTTGTGCAGGTTTCTGTGTTGTTCTGCTCTGAATGATGCTTCATGTGATTCCCATCTCACTGCCCTTTCCTTCTTTCTTTGTAGTCTTCATTTATTCTATGCCAGGGTACAAGTGTAGCATCAAAGAGAGGATGCTGTATTCCAGCTGCAAAAATCCCTTGGTCGACATGGTGGAAAACAATCTCCAGCTTGAGATTGAGAAAAAAGTAAGACGCTGTGTTTTGTGATATACTAGGGCTGTGCGATATGACCAAAATCTCATATCCCGATATAAGAATTCTATCGTCGATAACAATATAAATCGCAAAATTTTTCTGTAAATTCTGTGAATCTCGGGCAGCTCGACTTGTGTGAAGTCTTTCCAGCTGCGCGTCCTTTACCCGGAGTCGAGTGTTTTAACCGATGCATGAAACTATACATTTTTAGACATAAGTTGTAACGGCCGCTTTCTTTCTTTGTATTTATTACACGGCGTTCTGCGGGGAAAAGCCTGTTCTAACGTTTGAGTCTAAGGTTTATTTTTTAGCACCTGGCGGCTCTTTTTTACTTCTCATCCGTAAATAATTGCTCTTTCACGTGATTCAGTTTATTTTGAAAAGTCTCAACAGGATCTTGAGCTTTATTGTGAAAGGTTTATGTGGAACATAAACAAGCGGACACGCGAAGGTGTTGCCGTCGCTGTTGCTAACGACAACGCATAAAAACAGGCGCTTGTCCGTCCGTAGTGTGGTTATATTAAATATAAGAGAAAGAGAGAACTTTCAGAAATTAATATAACCACTACAGTGACCATCAAAACGATGAAAAATATTACCGTAAACAGTTTATTTTGCGACACCACGAAACAAACGATAGCGTAAAATGAAACGATAGATGTTTTTATATCGTCATCCGATATATATCGTTATATCGAACAGCCCTATGATATACTATAATAATCAAATGTCTTATGTAAAATAAATATCATTTATTTACATAAGAGATTTCCTGATAACAAAAGTATTTGTACTGTGTTCCATACAGAGTTTAAAATGGTTTTGGTGGCTGATATGACTGATTACAAATGTCAACCTTATTCTACATGTATTGCTTAAACAAGACTGAAAACCTACAGAGTGGAGCCACTAAAAAGGTTCAAAGATTCTTATTATTGATTCTACAGTAAATCTCCAGGCATTTACAGGAAGGGTGGAGCGCCATGCTTCCAAAGGATATTTTCCTCATAAGGTGTTTTGATGTTGGTGGTGAAGGGCACTCTACCCATAATTTACTCCACATTGCATTACACATCATATTGCCAATGCCAATGCTTTTAATGTATTAATACAGCTTATGTAGGGGAGAGAAGTGTGTCATGATTTATGAGATGAATCGGCATCAATTTGCAAATTCTGAACGTGACAGTCAACAAAAAAAGTTCAGACATTTTTCATAGTTTTTTTTCTCATTTAAATTGAGTTTTTCTCAAAAAAAATTTTTTAACACAATTCAGTGGGCTACATACTGAACTGAGAGGAAAGGATGAAGACAAAGCATTAATAATATGGCACTAATATTGATCTGACACCAATACCAGCGTTGGCATTGATACTATCGATATTTGGATCGATTTGAGCGCATGTGCTGTATTTAAAACGGCACACATGTCATGGAAAACACTGCACAGGCTCAGGAACACTTCCAGAATTTACTGTCTGTTCAGATTAAACATCTGTCATGCAAATAAAAGCATCTTAGAACTCATTTGTAGTGACCCTTTCTAATGGGCCTTAAACAGCAAGCTCAATGTTGGGCACAGGGGTGAATGTTTTTCCTTTAATCTGTCACACAATGCACCAGTGGTCCAGCTCATCATTTTAATGCACTTTTTAAATATTTCTGTTTCCCAGTTGGAAATAGAAAACGGAGAAGAACTGACAAGTGATTTCTTGTACGAGGAGGTGCATCCCAAGCAGCACGCACACAAGCAGCGCTTTGCCAAGCCCAAAGGCCCCGCTGGTAAGAAGGGCGGCCGCCGCATCACCCGACCACCGGGGGAGAGAGAGGAGGAAGATTAAACAGACCTCACCGCCCGACCACCACCTCTACCCCGAGCACGGTCCACAGAGGAACATTCCTGCTTTGGGGAGGGGAAGGCAGGAGGGAGGGGGGGTTAATCATTTTCGACACGCTTGTTTAAAATAATAAGACAAAAACCTCAAATTCCCACAGAGTTCACCCACAGACCCAGCTATGCACGCCAAGGACAACTGAGCAATGACACACTGCAGAATTTCCATTTGTAGCTTGCCAAATGGAAGTACATTCATGTAGGTTAGTACATTCATAAAAACCCTTCTACTATAATTCAGAGGCCCAAACCAAGTCAAAGATGAGGTTGTTTTTTTGAATTTTCACATCGTTGCCAGCTCTGAGACTTCAAAAATGTTAGTGTAACTAATGTGAACTTGCGCCGATATGATGAAAAGACCCCATTTTGTGTTCACGTGCTCAAATTCCTAACTTCCATTCCTCCTCGTGTCAATTAATGTTTCTGTGTCTAATGTGTTGATTATTTGTCTCCTACTGTTTGCACAATGAGGTGCTCCAAAGCAGAAAAAAAATAATTCTCAAACTTGTGTCTGATGATTCATTTTAATGGTCCATTTTATATTGGGGGAAAAAAATTGACTTCTTTTTTGATATAACTGTGGTTTACATGAAAAAAATCATCTGCTGAGATACTTATTTTTCTATGCAAGTGCTGTAAATGTACATATTGTAGCTGTGTGATGCTCTTTGATTAAGAAACAGTCTGGTCTGTTGAGGTAGATGTCCACGTCGGTAAGGATCACAGTGAAAGAACTGGGGCTTCCAGAAATATTACATCCACACATTTCAGATTTCACAAGGAAGGAAGCTTTTCCAGCTTTTCTGGTTCCCATAATGACAGGGAATGCCACGCTACTGGATGGGAAAGGGAATAATATAATTACCTTGATCAAAATGTTGCCACATCCACTGATGTACTGATTAATATTAGGCAAACTACTTCGCTCACCTCATGTTTGAAGGGAATATCCCTTTATGTTCATACAGTGTCATTATAATAGAAAAATCATGTTTGGTCTTATGTTTTCTTATAATTCTTTTAAAGAAGAAATAAAATATTTAAATCACGTTTTCTTTCACTTTATTTCTTTAATTGTTCGTAATAAATACATTTAACACTGGCAAGAACAACCAGTCAGCATTCTGAAAGAGTTCGGCCATTGGATTTGTTTAAAGGCCTCACAGAAATGTATTCAGCAGTATTTTTTACAGCAATTACACACGTAAGCTACATGCCTTTAAAAAAAACTGCAGTAATTCTTCTGTCAGTCTGCAGTTTGAAGCAAGCTCACAATTCCCACGATGCTTTGCTTCACGCCTTTCTATCAAGATCCAGTGCAATGTTTTTGACGACTCCGTGAATCTCCGCGTAAACCTGTTCAGACACACAACAATCATGACTACATATATATATATATATCGTAGCAACAATATGACATTTTCCTTTAGTTCAACAAGACAAGAGTGCAGTCTCCGTTCTCTTACTGCCTGCATTTGCTCCCTAAATCCCCTAAATAATATGTTTGTTATTACATAGACTCCCCATACACTTTATTAGGTACACCTCGCTATATCAAGTTGGGCCCCCTTTTGCCTTTAGAACTGCTTTAATTCATTGCAGCACAGATTGAACACAGTGTTGGAAAATTCCTCAGAGATTTTGGTTAATATAGCGTCACACAGATTTGTCAGGATGTGGCAGAAAGGGAGATTTGCATCATGCATTCATGATGCAAATCTCCCTTTCTATCACGTCCCAAACATGCTCTATTAAGGCTAAGATCTGGTGACTGTGGAGGCCATTCAATTACAGTGAACTCGTCATGTTCAGGAAACCAGTTTGAGACGATCTGAGCTTTGTGACGTGTTGTGTTACCTTCCTGGAAGCAGTCATAAAAACGTCGGTTTACTGTGGTCACGGTCAACAACAACACTCAGGTGGACTGTGGTGGTTAAGAAACGCTCAGTTTGTATTAAGGGGTCCAAAGTGTGATAAGACAATGTCCCCCACACCATGACACCACCAGCAGCCTGAGGTTTTGGTACATTGCTGGACTTTCATGCTGTTTTTGCCAAATTCTGATCCTATCATCTAAATGTCATAGAAATCAAGACTTATTGGCCTGGGCAATGTTTTTCCAATGTTCTGTTGTCTGAGTGAACTGTGGCCTCGGCTTTCTGCTGCTCATCCCATCTGCTTTAAGGTTCAACATGTTGTGCATTCAGAGATACTCTGCTGCATACCTTGTTAAGATAACGAGTACTGTTGACTTCCTATCAGCTTGAAACAGTCTGCCCATTTTCCTTTGATCTCTGGCATTTTCACCCTCAAAACTGCCACTCACTGGATATGGTTATGTGCTATTTACACAGCATCAAATCGCAACAAAAGTCACCTCGAGGTGCTTAAATGACCACAGCCATGCCTATATGGCAGTCAGTTGCTGCTATGTGATTGGCTGTTTAGATATTAGTGTTAATAAGCAGTTAAACAGGTGTATTTAATGAAGTGTCGACTCAGTTGTTAATGATCCTCTTTTCTTTTCAAAAACTAAAACAAAAAAAAAAATCCCTTTGTGGGATTTCTTCATTCAGCCTGGTCCAGCAGAGGCACATAACACAGGCAAATAGATCAAGGTGAAAAGCTGTGCAGATGCCAACACAGTAGCTTGACCTATACATTAAATCTGCTGGGATCTTTCCTGTACCTGTCTGATGACAGGCCGTCTGTTTTTCCTCTCATGGAGGCAGTTGCATGCCAAGGAGTAAATACTCTCCACCTGGCTCAGCTCCCAGGCTTTCATTTTTTTGTCCACAAAATCCTCCAGAGTCAGCTCCTCATCTTCATCATCTATGTCATACCTCATCTCCATCTAGGACATGAAGTAGGGAACACACACACACACACACACACACACACACACACACACACACACACACACACACACAGAGAGTGATGTAACAATCATCTTCTGCAAACATGTTCCATAGATGCTGACTTGTATATTAAACATCAAATGCAGTATCAGCACACGATGAGCACAGATGAAACTTTTAAAGGTGGAAGATTTGAACTTTTTTGTTTAAATCCTTAACAAATTGACTATTAACCGATAATGGTCCCTGACTCATTAAAGGCAAAGCCTTTAATAAGCTGTAAGCACAAAGTGTAGCTTGGCAGATAACACGATGAAAGCCTCTTTTGTGTAACTTACCAAGAACTGTGGCTCCCGGTTTTCATCAACTGGCGGGAGTCCAGACAATATTTCTAACAACACCTGTAGATGGCAGAGAGACGGGGTTAATCGCACGGCAGGAAAACTTACATGTGGCGGCGGGTAACATCGCCAACACTGCAGTATGTAGGAATGCATATGCTTCAGGGCAAGGTCAGAGATTCTACTAAAGCACTGATCCCGGAAATCACCTAATGGTTAATATGTTTGACAATTATAGCTACTAATACGTATCGCTGTGTCCCACAGCAGATTTGGGATAATGACAGATGATAAACAATATAGAGCTCTTATTTCACAAACAGTGAAACAAGTATACTGCAACGCTTGTGTCCTGCAGTTATATATGTGTCAGTAGTTTGGGAGAACCTTGGAGTCAAGGAAAGTGCTGAGTACTGCTCTACATTTTACATTACAGCTGCAGTTTCTCCAGCCCTACCTGTGTGTATCAGTGTGTGCGTGTGTGTGTCTGAAGAAAGCCTACCACTCCAAAACTGAAGACATCGGATTTTGGTGTGATCTCTCCTCTTAGCGCCTCCGGTGCCATGTACGCACGGGTACCCACGATCCTCTCAGTCATCATGGTCGTCGAGGTTCGCTTGGCCGATGCTCTCGTCAGACCAAAGTCTGAGATTTTGGCCATGAAGTGTTCATCTAACAGGATGTTCGCACTAACAGGGAAGAAATACCAGAGTGAGCAACAAAACATCCAGTCATGTGTCATGTATATTTCTACATTTAGGGAAATGTGATTTTACTGGCTTCCTTGCCAAGAGTTAAATTAAAACATCAATACCTCTTGCATGATTTTGCTTATGAGCCTCTATAAAACTCACTAAATTACCAAACTGTACCTTTTGTGCCCAAACTGTACTGTTGCATTACCAATGAACCTGTTCGTGATCTTCATGTTAAGTTAAACTACTAGCTACTAGTGGTGTCATCAGATTAAAAAGAAATAAGTCCGTTTTTTCATGTGCCTCTGAACAGGGACGTGAATACAAGTGTAAATGAAACCATTTTCTACTTTTAATTTAGCTCTAAAGAGAACCTTGTCATATGATCTGCAGAGAACCATATGGGAAAGCTTTTTCTACATCCCCAAAGTCTTTTTTTGGTTCTTTGTCTAAAATAGTAATGTGATGTAATTTGCATAGTGTTCCATAAAGGTACGGGACATCAAAAACGGGACATTTTCTCTCTTCTTTGTGGGATATCTCTAAACCAATAACAATGAAAGCTTTCGCACTATGAACCTTTTAACATCTCTGTGGACGTGATGGTTGGAGTGCAGATACTCCAAACCTTTGGCTGTCCCTTCTGCTATCAAGCACCTGTGGTGCCAGGAAAGTGGAGGACTTCCTTCCTAAATGAACAAAAAAAAAGAAGCATGTAATTAAATCCCCTTCTGAATGCACGGGGACTGAAAAGCAGACTGTTTGTGTAGAAGAGTAAATAATGCTTACAAAGCAAGCCAGTTGGTCTAATAAAGATCCATTGGCCATGAAAGCGTACACTAAACATAGGTGCTGTTCGTCACAGGAAAATCCAACCATGTCAACCAAGTTCTCGTGTTTCAACCTGTGGAACAAATGCTGTTATTAAACCACACCTGCATTTGTAAATACATGTATGTTAAATATGCTTCTTCACCTTCTTCCTGAGGGAAACTTACACTTTCAGAGTCTGGATCTCTTGGTTGAACTGATCTTGCAACTTGTCCAGTGGCATGTCATCCACCTAAATAATACAATATCTCAGATGCAATTAACAGCAGTACACAGAATCATGTGGTTCTGTTAAAAATATTTTCACTTACTGGATTGAGTTTTTTCACTGCAACTGGTTTGTCATTCAGAAGACCTTTGTACACCGTCCCAAAGCCTCCCTCTCCAATTCGGCTGCCACCAGCTGACGTGGACCGGTCATCAAAGTTGCCTGTGATCCTCATCAGGTCACTATATAAGAAACTGGAGAAGCCTAAGGAGGGAGACACAGTAAACTGCCTCATTAACTTCTCTGCTCAAGAGCCCGACGCTGCCACCTGCTGTCGATTACGTAACATCACATCTTTACGAAGAAGCGGCATCGCTTATTGAAATCAAAATATCATCTTTGTTGACTACACTACACCAATATAGAGCAGCTTAGTTTACAGTGCTCTAATGTAATCAAGTAGATTTACTGCACTACTTTAGTACTGCAGTGGCAGATTTACATGGTGCTGAGAAAGATATGACATTTTAATTCACTGGAACCAGACTTTTCAGCAGATAATGAAAGATGAACATTATCTACTTAAAACATCGCATGAATATGACTCATAAATGACTGTGTTAATAAATGTCATACGTGTTATTCGTTCAATGTCACATGTTCAATCAAGATATGAACATAAAATTAATACATAATCAAAAAGTGAAAGACCTGTGTGTATTGGTTCGGTGTTTTCCTGTGGCATTCGAAGCTGCAGCACAGTGGTGACGGGCTGCTGCTGCACGTCTCTCTCGTCCAGCAGTCTGGTTGAAGCAGTGCTTTGGGTCTCCAGTGGACTGGACTCTTCAACTGTGTGAGGACAAAAACAAAAAATGATCAGAATAAATGATTGGGTTTTACATCCTGTATCAGTGCAGTTTGACTGTTTCTCCTCATGCTCCAGGCATCACACCTAACAGATGTTTACTCATCCTCTACCCAAAAAGTGCAGAAGTTTTTTGCTACATCTCTTATTGCAATTTCATAACTCGTGGTTAACATCTTATTTTCTTAGAAGAATTTAAAAAAAGAGGGTGATACTGGGAAAAAGATTTGGGGTAAGTTAAGATTCAACAGGTTTATTCTACCTGTTGCGTGTGGTTATTATTTAATGGCTTTTAAAAGTCATACCAGGTAGCAGAACACTGGCAGCAGCCAGTAACTCGTGACTCTTCAAAATGTCCACAAGTTCACCCACTGTGCTGTTGGTGGTCCCCCAGTCATTGAGCAGCTCCACTGTGGGACTGCGACCCTGTGCAACAAGACCTTCAAATCTCCTTAAAAGACAGCGGCACAAATTCAGTAAACAATAAATAAACAATCAGCGTGATTTCATTCAATGAAAAGCAAGCACGTCAGAAAGTTTGCCCCCATCTTACCCGACATGAAGCTGGGAATACCTCGGCTCCCCGCTCGGTTTCTGTATATCTACAAGAACTTCTTTCCACCTGTCCTGAGGATCCAAAAAATCGGACAATTTGCGACGTAAACGAAAACCGATGTTGCGAATATAAGTAGCGGAAGTTACTGGATTATCCATTCTGCGGGGAGCTTGTGACCAAACCCGAGATTGGGCTTTATCTAACAGTCATGTTTTCATAGTCTTAGACCTGAAGACGTTAATTATACTCCATCGAGTGGATTCTTTAACCCAGAAAAATCGCAAACAGTTATGTTTTGCTCACATACCTAAAAGAAAAAGTGTTTTCCGATATTGAGCAACTTCCCCAAACGTAAACAGCAGGGCTGTCCTACGAAAGGTCTCCACCTACAAAGCGGAAACGCAAAGATTGAGTGCTATGGTACAATACAGTCTGTGCTGGCTGTTCTTATCTGTAAGCGGGCACAACAAACTAACAATAAACCTGCGTGGTGTTATTCATATAATTATCTTTTTGGTAACACAAGAGCAGAAAGGGAGACAGCTGTCGTGTGATGGTGGTTTGGAGATTTACAGTGTCACAGTGCCCTCTAGTGGATAATAAAAATAAAACAAATCTTCCATTCGGGGGTACACACTGACGGTGTCCGGCAAGAACACCCTGGGTTTGAGTCCACCACTCGGCTGGGCCTTTCATGTGATCAGTTTGCATGGTGTCTGCGTGGGTGCTCTGCCTTCCAAAGACATGTAGTTAGTGGCGCCCGTTGGTGTGAATGGTTGCCTGTTTTGCTGTGTTAGTCCTGAGTCAGGTTGGCGAGCTGTCCAGGGTGTAAACTGTCTCTCACCCAAATGATATCTGGGATAGGCGGAAGAGGATGGATGGAATGAATAACCTTAGAACTGTGATTGAATTCATAATAATTGCTGCGTATGTCAAATATTAGAATACTTGTATGCATATAATTTAAATGCAGAAAATCAGAAGAAAATAGTTCCCTTAACACCTTCTCAATCTTCATCTTCTCTTATTGAACTCTAGGTTTCACACATGCATTCGTTTGGAAATGTGATCAAATAACTATATAAGTAAGTATTAGGAAAAAACAAACATCTTTTTTGTACTTATTTGTGTATGCTGAATACATGATTTAAACACTCAACTGGACATTTATGAACTCCTATGTTGCTACATCAACACACAATATAAACCAAAGTGTGCCATTTTTGCAGGATGTTAGGTATCGATTAGCCTATCCATCACCCATAAGGCACAATTTTTTTTCCACTGGTGTTTAAATCACAGTCACAGTCCAGCATAGAGCCCCCCTCCCCAAATAAACTCCCCAAATGTGTTGCAGGAAAAAAAAACTTCTTTAACTGCTTTTTTTTCTTGGAAACTTTAAAACTACATCAAGGAGGTGACCTCAATCGAGCCATCTCATGTCAAACAAATTTGGCAAACAGCTGGAGGCATTTGGTCTGAACTGCTTGGAGTACCTTTCTTTGTTTCTGTGTTACAAAAAAGCTGGATCTGTTTATGGTGTGTTAGTTGCTATTTGCACTGTAATTGATGAACTGTAATCAGTTCCATGTGCAAATGGAAGGCCTAGCTGTATTACTGGATGGGATGGATTACTGGGTGGATTTGTGATGAAGTGCAAGATGCGTGTGTGTGAGACATAAATTTCAGACAAAAAACCCACACACAAGATTAAAACTTTTTGCATCAGAAAAGTCTTACAATAACATGTTTTGAATGCAAATACAAACAAGTGAAATTAAAATCCATTTGATATTTATTGAGCTATTAACATCAGCTTGAACCATCAAACAAACCACCCACAGAGACCTGCTGCACTGTGCACACACCAAACTGCATCAAAGCATAAGTTAAATTCAGGTTTGCTTGAGTTTTGATCTTATTTGATATTAAACTTTCAGTCATGAATGGGACACAATTCTCACTCCTTCTTTGAATGTTTGTTCTTACATAATATATATATATATATATATATTGTGTTCAACTTTTGTTTCCAGGCAAACACATAAAAAAATAAGATTGAAAATTACATTACAAATGAAACTTTAAAATGTCAACTCAATCTACCCAAAGTCATCCAAAACCTATTTGAAGTAAGACATAAATAATGTTTGTATGTAAGGCTATTACTTTTAGCATGGAGCTTGTGAAACCAGTGACCCCGAGCACATGGCCATCACTGCACCAACAGACTGAACTCACAACACACGCTAATACAATTCTTTAATGCTGCATGTGATTTTGATGAGTCCCGATGATGACAAGCAACATTTGCATGATTTTACACAGTTGCGAGTCATTTCACTTTGTCTCTGTGAAAGGAGCATACAAGAGATGATCTAAGCAGAGAGAGGCAACTGTAACCCACAGGCCTGTTATGATTATATTTTTATAGGCTTGGCTGATGACACCACGAGTGATACTCTTAATAAAAGTTAGTGACTCATAAACTTATAAACAACTTCTATGACAATGCATACAGATGGTCTGCATTACATGAAAAGGAGACTTCACCACATAAATAACCAAAACGCAATTAAGTTATTTTGTGAGGGAAAAGCATAATGAGAGCCATCACTGCAATTGTGGTGCCCGAAAGTGTTTATTCTCTTTATGCTTGAGGTTTGATGCCATCTTTTGCAAATACATAATACATGAGACCAACTGGAGCTCGTCAGAAGTTGTTTATTATTAAATGACAGGTGAGGACATTTGAGTACCTCTGCATAATGACGTGGGACTTCATTAGAGCAAATGTATGTTGTTAGTAGGAGATGGAGTGTATCTTTACCTGTCTTCTTTCTGTGTATGTGTGCTAACCTGGGGTGCAAACACAAGCCAGCGGTGCCCAAGAGACCATCAAAGAAGACGCTTGTTTGACGAGGACCCGAGCTGCCGAGAGCTCAGGTAAATTCCCTGTGTGTGTGTGTGTGTGCTCCTGGTGAAGGATAGCTCTCACACCTGTGCGCAGGAGATTCTTTGAAGTGCCTAATCATCTCGTGCCTCCTCTAACCCAACTGACATGATCCAAACACTGTATGCACACTTCACACGCAGAGGCAGGGAGTGAAGCCAGAGCCTCTGCTCTCCTGTGGCGAGTGGAGGGATGAAGGGAGAAGAAAATAAAGAGAGCTGGAAAGGGAGAGTCTGACGCTAAAGATGAGGAGAAGCATAAAAGTTCAAAAAACAACAACAACAACAACAAAAAAGGAAAACTAACAGCCAGCACAGGGGAGAAGGCTCTCGATAATTAGAGTGCAGAGGAAAAGAGGTGGAGAAGAGGATCTGATAGAGGCGAAGGAGAGGTGGAGATGTGAGGGAGAGCAGAAATCGAGGTGCCCTGTAGTTTGGGAACAAGGGCAGAGGTGGGAGACCTGCCAAAGTGGCTTAAATCAGCGGGTGGAAA